GCAATGCTCATTTAACCGAATTTGGATCTGATTCAAGTCCTCAAGTTTGGGTTTTTTTTTATGTTTGATTTTGCTGTCTTCCACTTGATTTTGGGGGACTCGTGGCAGGGTAGGGAAGGCGAATGGTGCATGTTTGATCGGATTATTTGGTGGAATGAATCCGGATTTGACCCATATCTAATTTTGTCCGAGTTAATTAGGTTCTTTGGGCTCAAATAGGTTTATGCAATTTGAGTGTGGTTTAAATAAGTTTGAGCTTGACTCGAGTCCTTAAATTTAAGTCTAAATCGAGTTCTAAAGTTTAAGTTTCAACCGGATTAAAATTGGTGTTTACACTTTTAATATTCACCTCGATTCCGTATTGGACATAATTTTTTGATAAAAGAGTGAGAATAAGAATCTAAGATGACCAACCATTGGTTGTACGAGAGCGAGGTGGAGGCAATGGTGTGAATAATGCAAGAACAATTGAATCATGAGTGGGGGAAGGCATAATAATGGCTACAATTGGTTCCCACTTCTCATTTACACGAGGGGGAGGGTCCGATCCAACAACCCTTCATAAATGCATGCAAGGACTTATCACCATCTAATGCTATCCATAAAATATTCCATAATTTAACTAACGATCAACTTGGCCTCTCAAATTGCAATATTATTGCAAAAGTTTCATGTAGGCCGTAAGTCTTATCTCTCGGTAATTTTGATTTGGTCCTCTAGGCTCTATGCAAATTATTGGTGTACATAAACTCCACATTATAGGTAAGAAAAGTTATGTTGTACATTAGCTAAATTTAAGGCTAAGAAATGACAGAGAATTGACTCAACCGAAAATATTATAAAAACATAACATTTTCAGTTGAGTGCAACCTAAAATGTTAACTTTTTTAACATTTTCGGAAGTTAATATTTTCCGTTGCCAACTGAAAATATCACGAAGGTGAGTAACCGAAAAATGTTAAAAAAAATATATTTTAAGTTGCAACCAACTGAAAGTTTTATGCTTTTTATAATATTTTCGGTTGTGTCATTTCCCTATCGTTCCTTAACCTTAAATTAAGTTGTCGTCCCTTAGACATTCCCTTAGGTACAAAGTTATATATGTGCTAGTACTAAAGTCTAAGCTATGCTGTGGTGTCTTACTTTTTAAAATGATCAAAATGATATTAGATATATTAATTTTAATAATTTTAAATATTAAATATAATTATTTTTTTACTTTTTATTAATATTTGTTTAAGATTAATCATATATATATATATATATCTGTAAATTAACTATATTCATGATTAATATTAAACAAATATTAATAAATTAATATTTATATCCAAGTCAATCTGATATCGATATTATACTTGTAAATTAATGAATTACCTATAGAGAATGCAACAGCTTAGTTTCAAGTAGTTTCTTTACAGCTGGTAGTTAGTTAGTTGTATAGTAGCTTGTAGTTAGTTAGTTGTATAGTAGCTTGTAGTTAGTTAGTTGTATAGTAGCTTTATACTTGTAAATTAACATTTGTTTTAGTTTTTAATGGGCCTCAATGAGACCTCTTCCATTTATAGTCAAATTCTTTTAATGTAACTACTTCTGTTTGTGAATCATGCTTACTCCATGGTGAGTCAAGAAGAATCAAAGCCTGCTCATCTCAGTGTTATGCCTCATCTCGTTGATTTCACTGCATTCTATTCAAATGCTTCTGGGTCATCTGGTCGTTATTGGTTCAATGGTGTTTGTGATCACTGAAAGGACAGGGGTCACAAGAAAGAGCAATGTTATCGTCTTATAGGTTTTCATCCAGACTTCAAGTTCTCCAAGAAGAGAGAGCCTCAGGCTTCTTTAGTCACAGATGGCTGTCCCTTTTTTCCCATCTGTATGGGGTAAGAGGGAGGTAAGATAGTAGGCTGCCCCCAACACCAGGTTGAGAGCAGCTTCCGTAGGAGACCTCCAAATTATGAAATGCCCTCCGTGGGACTTGATCCCACGACCTCAAGGTTTAGAACCTTGTGCTCTACCAACAGATGCTAAGTCTATTTCACCTCATGTACCTGAAACATGTTCTTCATCAGTTGGTCCTATCGTCTTCACCAATGATCAATATCAAAAGATTTTGACTCATCTCTATAAGTCTGCTCCAACTAACTCATCCGCTCACTTGACAGATACTTTATATCATTGTTACTCTATTACAAAATCTCCCATTTGGATCTTAGACACTGGGGCTACTGATCATATATGTTCTGGTTTTCATAGCTTGGTTGCTCCTAGTTTATGCGCTTTAAATAACCTTAATCATCTTTTTCACTCGTCCAATGATCCTAAAAATAATTGATATTTAGTTTATAACTTACAAAGTTGGGATCCGCATACTTGTGGTATATATATATATATATAGCATAATCCGCTTACATTATGTAAAACTAATAAATTTTATACTAATTTGTAACTGTTAGATTTAAATAAATAAATAGCTTCAATTTAATTAAAATTTATAACTTATAAAAAATGTCTTTTAACTCACCGTAAAATATTATCTCATTTTATCCAAAATCCAAAATCCCAAATCCTACATCCTGAACCATAAATTTGACTAAACCCTTAATCTTAAATCATAAACCCTAACTAAATCTTAAAGTTTAAATAGTAAAATCTAAATTCTAAACCCTAATCCTAAAAGAAAAAAAATATAGTTTTACTGCGAATTAAAGAAATATTTATTTATGGGTTATAAATTTTAGTTAAATCTAAGCCATTTATTTGTCTAAATCTAATGGTTATAAATTGTGTAAAACTTATTAGTTTTACATAGTGTAAGTGGATCTTAACCCTTATATATATATAGATCCAACTACATAATGTAAACTTAAAAAAAATTTACACCCTTTTAGGATATTTAGATGAGGAAAAATCAAAAGCTGAGATTAATAGTAGAAAATGAGAAGATGTTCACGAGAAAAAAATTAAGGAGTTAATTTCAGCCTTTAATTTTTCTCATCTATTAATTCTAAAAGAGTGTAAACCTAAAAGTTTACCTTAGATATAAGTGGATCCTAACTTGTATATATAAGATAGACCGAGGGGGACAGGAGGCAAATGAGGTAATCCCCAACTCTTGAAAATTTAAAAATATCATATATTTTTTATACATTTCATTTAAAAAATTATTTTCATTCCCTCAAATTTTAAAAATTAAAATTTATCTTATAGTATGAAATTTTGAGTCAATCTATACACAGAGTAATTCATTTGGAAGTTATATGCTAAGAGAGGCATTTAATAATTAATAATTGAGATAGATCATCTGTCATGTCACTCATAGCTGCTCTAAAAGTGACCTTTTTGCCATAAAAGGCCTGCACTTTAGGACATTATTCCTCGCTCAAATTTATTTCAAATTCGTTTCTTATAATTTGAGCTTTGCTAGCTCACTCTAGTATCTTTTCTCTTTCATTTTCAGAACAGATAATGGAATCCAACAAGAATGAACTTTTGGTGTCCGAATCCGACTCAAACCCCGAAATGGTAAACAAAACAGTTGTGGATTCACTTTACAAAGCATTGGCACATGGTGAAACCGGCACCGTCGTCTAACTGCTCACAAGTGACCTGGAATGGTGGTTCCACGGCCCTCCACGGTGCCACCACATGATGCGGATGCTCACCGGGGAGTCGAACCACACTGAGTTCAGGTTCTAGCCGAGGAGCGTGGAGGTCGTCAGCGATTGCGTGATTGCAGAGGGTTGGGAAGGAGCACAAGTGTAATGGGTACATGTATGGACGTTGAAGCACGGTTTGATTACACAGTTTAGGGAGTAATTTAATACATGGCTGACTGTGAGGGACGTGAACCCACCGCCGTGACGGGATAGGGGCCACGGCTGCCACACTCTGTGGCAGAGCCAACCCAGGGACTTGGCTCGACGCTCATTGCCTGGCCTTTTGCTCACCAAATAGATATGTCAACAACAGGAAATGGATTGAGGGGGTGTTAGGGCACTGTCGCAACTTAAGAAATTTTAAATTCATATATGATTTAATTTTTTTATATTTTTTTCGATATCTAATTTTACACCCAATTATATAATTTCGTACTCCTAATGTTTAATATAATTTCTGAAGTTTGTATCATTAATATAAAATTAAGTAAATTAAGCGTTTAGTACCTAAATTATCAACTGTGGTCAATTTTAGTACTTAAACTTTTAATTCAAAATCATAACTAAACTTTAGTTTTTTATTCATTTTAGTACACTATTAAAAAATTAACATTAAGTTTTGGGGGAAAATTGAAAGTTTAGGTACTAAATTAGACCAAAACTGATAATTTAAGTACTAAACACGTTAAGTTTTAAACAAAGGGGTACTGAAATGAAATGAAAACTAAGCATTAGATATAATTTTGAAAATATTAAAAGTTTAGATACTAAAACGGACTAAAACTAATAGTTTAGGTACTAAATGCACAATTTATCCTATAAAATTTTGTGTTCATTGATAGACGTGAAGCTACTTCATCATGGCTAGTGAGTGGGACATTGCCTTGAAATGATCAAATATGGAATTGCATTAAGCATATCTATGAATTGTACTAAGTGCCCATGTTTTGCACTATGGCAAGCTCTAAAAAACAAGGCACGGCTTTGTTATGCATCTTTGCTTAATGGGACTCTTTTAACTAAAATAAAATTTAGAGGTTTGTGCCGCTTTTAAATGGACTGTAATCAAGTCAGCCAAGTTGAGATTGAGACCTTTTTTGATATTTAAATAAAATTGGACCTTTTTCCAAAATAAAATAGTTTTAAGGGTTTTTTTTTTGAAAAAATAAATTTCCAAAATTATCATATTGAGATATGTGTCACTTAACGGAATTCAATTTAGTCCTTATTAGGAATTATTCTTTAAAAGAAAAAACATTGAGATGGTTAATTACCAAATAAATCAATTGTACGAAAGTCCACTGAATTAAGTCTCGAACGCTTCTACCCAGCCAACAAGAGCTAGCTAATTCCCATTTTTATTAACTAACAAACATAATAACCGGAAAAGGCAATTTGCAGTGAATTAACAATGCTACAACTAAAAAGGAACTTCTTTGAATCAACCTGACGATGAAACAGCTTCACCACAGCTTGCTTCTTCCTCAGGAAAACTGGGAGGTTTCGGAATCAGTCCGAGGATTTTGAACATGTCTTGATCAGCATCATAATCATTGTTTGGAGTTGTCAACAGCTTCTCACCAGTGAATATAGAATTTGCTCCGGCAAGGAAGCATAATGCCTGCTCAGGCATGGAGAAACGAACTCTCCCGGCCGACAGCCTAACCATGGATGTCGGCATGACTATACGAGCAGTGGCAATCATCCGAATCATCTCCCATATTTCCACAGGCTGAACAAGTGATGACAAATATTAACTAACATACCGATTCTCAAGCTCAATAAATTATTCTAATGCAGTCATCACAAGTGAAGAAAACACACCAAGAATATTTAACCAAAGCAAAAGGATTAAACTTAAATCTGTTTCTGTAGCAATCATTGTTTTAATCAAGAGTGCAAAGCAACAATATTTTTTTCTGGTAAACTACACATTTAGTACCTAAACTATTAATTTTATTTCTTTTTGGTACCCAAACTTTATTTTTTTTCAAAACCATACCTAATGTTTAGTTTAGGTTTCATTTTGGTATCCCTTTAATAACTTAACGGTGATGTCACCATAAGGTAATGCCATGTCATCATTGAAAAAAAATGCCACGTCTGCCATTTTGTTAATTTTTTAACGGCTGGGTACCAAACTGAAACCTAAACTAAACGTTAGTCATGCTTTTGAAAAAAAAAATAAAGTTTGGGTACCAAAATGAATGAAACAAAAGTAATAGTTTATTTTTTTTGGTATCATCACCAGTATCTAACCTATTAGCTGACTAATCCATATCTGGTTTAGCAAAGACCCATCCATTATGAGGACGATCTTCCCATCCTAGTTTTCTCTATTCACAACGTCAGGATTCTAACTCTTGACGTTTGCTCAAGGGACCTAACACCTCTTCCCGCTACACCAACTAGAAGTTGGTTAAAGAGTAAACAAGATAATGGCTGGAGATACAATTTCGAAATGTCCTAATTCTATTTTCCTCTTTAGTGGAAGAAATGTTATGCATCATTTATGAAGTTCAGTCAAAACAAGAACCAAAAGGTTGAAAAATGGTAGATGGAGAGAATAAGAGTTAGCAAGAGCAAGCACATGACCAGAAGAACTTATAATATAAAGGACTTGAAACTTCATTCCGGAGGAGAAATGTCCGGACACTGACTCAGACAGCGAAGGTCCTCAGTTATATCGCTCAGAGAACATCAACCAAAAGAAAGACAAAACCGTGGAATTGAGCAGAAAAACAGTAAGGTTATAAACTCAAAGTTTATTGACGGCAAACTGTTGTTCTACTTTTACTAAAAAAAAGTTCTATTGACTGCAAGTTGTTCACTTATATCTCTATCACAAGACAGCACAAAACCATATGATGCACGCATCATTGTATCTGTACTAGAAAAGAATTACAACAATAAAATGGAAAACAAGAAAATAATAATAATGAAACAACAGCCCATGGCTATGCTTTATTTTTCAGTTAGAATTACCTTTTGATCTTGAAGAGGTGTGCCTTCCACTGCGACCAAGGCATTAATGGGAACACTTTCTGGGTGAGTGGGAAGTGTTGCCAAAGTGTGAAGTAAACCAACCCGGTCCTCTTCTGCTTCTCCAAGCCCTATAATCCCCCCTGTTAATAGAGAAGTAAATCAATATAATTTCAGTTAGAAGTAGTTGTAACCAGTATTTGTTAGATAAAACTCAGGATATACAGAAGCTTAATGATAGAACTTATCTGGAGGTTAACATAACATTGTTAAAATTACTCAAAAAGATCTTTCAGAATTGACCATCATCTGCATGTATGTGTGTGCACACAAACATAAATATTTATATATATGCATATATGAATGTACCTGAAGGCCTAAAAAAGAATACTTTCAACAAGTAGAAGTTTTCCAGCAAGACAGAACTTCATCATTGAAAAGGTGAAAAGACAAAATGTGCAGCCAAACCAGAAACCTAGTTGCAAATTTCTTACCAACTCCACATAAATAACCAACTAAAACAATTCTCTTTTCTGCATCAACTTTCTCAACAGGAAGATAATAAAGAAGAGGAAGAAGTTCGGATATTATTAACTTACTAAATGACTAGCATTACAAATCATATAGTGAAAGATTGCTTTCAGTCATAATGATGTTTAACCGATCACCTGAACAGACATTAATTCCAGCTTCACGGACATGTTGAAGGGTTTCCAGCCGCTCATCATAAGTTCTTGTTGTAATAATGTTGGGGTAATATTCTTTTGAAGTATCAAGATTATGGTTGTAAGCTGTTAGACCAGCCTTCTTAAGTTCAAGTGCTTGCTGCTTCTCCAGCATGCCCAAAGTGCAACACACTTCCATCCCCATATCCCTGGTAAACAAGACGCTTCAAATTTTGTTTGACTTTTGATGGAAGAATTACAAAACCTTAGCAATGGCATGATCAAAACATTTTCAAATTGACAGAAAATAAGAAGAAAATTTTGAAAGAATGCTGTTCAAGACAATGTAACCTCAGTATTCTAGGAAATATACATATATATACTATATTGGAAAAAAGAATAAAGGTTGCACATGTTTTTCAGTGGAGATTGTATATGTTTCCTTCTGAGGAAGATTTACATGACGAAAGGAAAACATTTCAGGTTTTTCAACGCGTAAATCCAAACATGGACTTCGTGTTATTATTTAGAGGCCAGGAATCAATAATCCTATGGCAAGAATAAATAGGCACAAAAACTAATTAGTTTTAACCAAAGCACGGAAAGAAAATAAAATCAGTAGCAGAAAATTTAAGATCAAGCATCTAACCAATTGTTTTAATAAGTTTTCAGAATCAAGTTCACTTGAAATTTATAATATAAGCTAGGTAACAGAAATCATATTTTCCTAAAAAAAATATACTCAAGCTCTGAATTTCTAACATAAGTAATATGAAATAGGTGATGCTTCATTACCTAATTTCTTTAACATATTCAAGAATTTGGTTGAAGTTAGTTTTCCTTCCTACTGTGTCTCTCCAAGCTGCGCCCATGCAAAAGCGTGTACTACCAGCCTCTTTTGCCTGCCAATAGTAGAGAAATAACAGCAAATCATGCTACATGAAGCAGAACACACAAAGAAAGGCTCTAAGTACATTAGATAGTAGTTTATATATATTCAATTGGTAGTAGTTGAAGACAGTAACTAACCTAAGGGTGAGTAATTGATCAAGTTGAGTAAAAAAAATTTGATTTATTCGTATTGACGAGTACTACTTTATAACTCAAACTTTATTTTAAAATTTTTAGTAAGTCTATGAAATTCGAATCGAGTTGTTAGAGTCTCTGTTTAAATTTAATTATAAATATTTATGGTGTTATGAAACTAGTTTTCATGGTCGGAGCCATTCTTTGTCCCAAATATATTGGTATAATAGCATTTTAAGTATTTTTTTAGTTAAATATTAATCAAATAAGTCCTTTGTCCCTTCCAATTTTCCAATTTAAATATTTAATAAACGTTGCTCCTCTCAGTGTTTTGATCCTAGTTCCATCATTGCTGGTTTTCTATATCCTATAGGTATAAATATATCATGCAGAGTTGAGGTATTCGAGTAGAATTTAAAAATTAATTCACTAACTACTAAAAATTGTGAGTTACATTTTCGAATTTATGAAATTACGGGTCGAGTCAAGTAGAATTTATTTTAGGGTTGAGTCAAAAAAAAAGATTCAAATTTTTTAGAGTCGAGTCGTTTGCTCACCCTTAAACGAACCTGTTTAGCAGAATTGATGGGAAAAATGGAATGGCTTAAACAGAATGCAAAAAAAAAAAAAAAAAAAAAGAAGAGGTAACCTGTTTAGCAGCCTGCAAAACGGCATCCTTGGTCATGAGTTTGTGGGACTTCACGCCGGTTTGGTACCTTGAGGACTGAGGACAATAGGAGCAATCCTCGCTACATCCACCAGTCTTGATGGAGAGGAGTGTACACTGTTGCACCTCTCTGAAGTTATGAGCATGTCTGTGAACTTGAGCCTAAAACATTATCAAAATAGATAAGATTCAAGAGGCGTAGATTCGAGAAGAAAGGAAATGATGGGGGGGAGAGAGAGAGAGAGAAAGAGAGAGAGAGAGAGAGAGAGAGAAAAGAGAGACTCCATGGAAAAGGAGATCGAGAAGAGGAGAATGGTAGATGGAGTTGATCTGTTGGCGAGTCCAGTCGTTTCTAGGACCTTCCCGGAGAGTTCTCTCGGCTTCTGTAGCGGCGGCCGATAGGGCGGAAGAAGAATAGTAGCAGCTGCAGCTTCTCAGCACCACGTTAAGGGATCGAATTGACAACATTTTCTTCGGGAGGAAGAAAATGAAATGAAATTGAAGGCTCTGTTTTGTTTCCTTCTTGTTCCCACTGCTCAGAAGTCAGATCTCACTACCACTGCTAAGCCAAACAGCATAGCAGTGCTCAGTAAAGTGAGAGAAAGAGAAATAGAGATGATAGTGGCCACCTAACCTCTACCCAATACTCGACCCAATTTTTCTGTCGTAGGGATTTCCGCTTATTTATGGGATCCAATGGTCATTAATATTTTAGTACATTTCTGTTTTTCCCTATTTAAGTTTCAAAGGTGACAAATTAGTCACTAACATAATTGATTTATAACAAAATGGTCATTAGCGTCACCTATTTATAACAAAATGGTCGTTCCACCGTAGGGATGAAAATTTAACTCGAATCCGATGGATTCTGACCCTACCCGACCTTATCAGGTTGAATGTTTTTGAAAAATGGGTTCATGTCGGGTCAAAGTTTTTAAGGGACAAGATCGATTCGGGTGGAGGGTGAAAAAACTCCGACCTGACATGAGGTTAATAATGTAATTTCTTTAAAAAAAATTATTATTTTTTAATTAAATTCGTATTTTATATCGGGTCAGGTTAGGTCAAATTTATACTCTAAAATTCGGGTCAAGTCAGGTGAATGATATAAAATTTTCAAGTCGAGTCAGATTCGGGTGAAGGATACACATTTCCAGTTCATATCAAGTTGACCAAAAACTTGACCTTAACCTGATCCATTGCCATCTATACTCTACTATCATCTATGTTAAAATAATGATGTGGCAACATTAAGAAAATGAGTAAAATTTAGTTTTACCCATAAAACATCAAGTAAGTCATTGAACAATGATTTTATAGTATTTAATTTACCCCCAAACTTTCTAGTTTCATTTTTTTCCAAATACCATACCACCTCCACTATATTTTAATTACCTTCTTATAAAATAAAAAATGGTGGAGATTTAAAAATCGTTTCGTTTTTATTTTTATATATACTTTCTCATTTTCATTTTTTCATGATGAGATGTTAAGATTGTTATTGTAAGAACACAACAAACGAAAAATTACAGTATTGTTAAAACAAAAGGAGTCAAATGCCTCTATTTTTACTTAATCAAAGAGACTAAGAAATATAAAAAGCAACAAACAAAACAATGGAACTTCAAAACTTGTTGAAGTAGCAATAGAACCATACATGATAAAAAGTGGCATATGATACTCCACAATGGAGCTTCAAAAATATAACTTGTAAATACTACGAGAACAAGTAGTTGTCATAATGGATTCGATGATGCAGAATCATAGTGTGAAGTTAAAGATCAACAAGACGGAGAAAGAAGAAGAAAAAGAATGATAATGATTTACAAATGTTGTGATACTCCAAGTGTTTGCGTTTGCGGGAGGAAAAATTTGTTTTTCTTGTGTTAATAATTTTCATTTGAGCTCAATTAATGTTTTACATAAAGAAACATTGCATTGAGTAATGGAAATTATGCAACTTAAACTTGTGTTAATAATCTTTGAATCTTACTAAAAACACTAAAATATGGCCAAATTCAAGGAAACAACATCCGAAAATAAGAATAGTTATGATAATATTTATGCACATTTTCTGTTCTTTTCTTACTTACTCAAGTGATTAACATGCAACATGGCACACAACTGGTGGTTTGAAAGGAAGAATCTTATGGCAATTACAGGTCTGAAACTAGCAATAGTTTTCATAGTAAACTTTAAACTAACACGATAACCATGAACTGTACAATAAGAAAGAAAATACCACAATAAAAATGTCATAACTAAGCATATCAAATTAACTAAATAATTTAACCAAAGTGACCAATAAATAAAAACATTTGGGTTAGTGATTGATGTAATGTGATACTAATTTGTATTTTGGTTGTTTGTTTACCTAACCATATAACAACTCTTGTAAAGTCCAAAACCCTAACACTCAGAGTTTGTAAACTATTGTCGTTCTTGTTGTTTCTTCATCTTGTTGATCTTTAACTTCACACCATGAGTTTGCATCGTTGACTCCATTGTTGGCAGTTTCTTGTTCTCGTAGTGTTTTTAGATTATTGTTTTGAGACTATCATCACTTCGTTCTCACGCATCACTTTTTGCCATGCATGGTTATTCATCTCCAGCTTCTTCAACAGGTTTTGAAGCTCTATTATTTTGTTGTTTTTTTTTGTATCTCTTGGTCTCTTTGATTAAGTAAAATAGATTCATTTGACTCCATTTATTTTTAAAACACGGTAATATGTCGTTTGTTGTGTTCTTATAGTAACAATCTCAACCTCTCATCTTAAAAATGAAATAAGGAAGTATATATAAAAATAAAAAAGAAACGATTTTAAAATCTCAACCATTTTTATTTTGTAAAAGAAGGTGGTTCGAATATAGTGGAGGTAGTGGGGTATTTGGAAAAAATTAAAATTTAAAAATTTTGGGAGTAAATTAAATATAAAATCAATGTTAAATGACTTAATTGATGTTCTAGATTATAATTTAGGGGTAAAATTAAATATTCACCATTTTCTTAACATTGTCCTGTCATCATTTTAACGGAGATGACGGTAGAGTGATCATTTTGTTATAAATGAATAAAATTAGTGATCATTTTGTTACAAATCGAAAAAACATTAGCTCTCATTGATGTAGTTTACCCATATCAAACTGCAACCGTTGATGCTCGAACCCGTGACCTTTAGAAAAAAAACAATTCCTTTAACCACTAAGATAAGTTGGTTCGTGCTATTGTTCTTTGTTTTTTGCTCTATTTTATTTGATGGTCTATTTTTTAAAAGTTATGTTTTGGTTATCTTGTTTTGATCATTGAATTATTAGTGTTAATTTTCATGACGTGATATATTAGTAAAAATGTTTAATTTTTAATTTGTCTCCCTAATTTTAAATAGCGTCAGTGATTTAAATAGTGGAACGAAAACTTTATAGCGACCGTTATTTTGTGGTAGCATCGTCGTCCGAAATCGATATTAACGAATTTCGCAGTGGGTAGCAAATTCACGTCGATAGCGGTCTATCGCGTTCGCAACTTAACAAGTAATGGTGGATTACATAAATAATGGGATGCTATTAACGATATTCCACCGTTACTGCCAAAAAAATTAAAAATTAAGAAAATCCAAATTCACGTCCGGAAAATCAAGAGAGAAAGCATATTAATTATCAAGAGTTCAAAATCAAGACTCACCAAAGAGGCATAGATCAAAACGGGTAGGAGACAAGCCGGCAAAACAAAGTTATTTTGGAGGAAAATCCTGCGTCTGTTGAGCTTTGCCGCCGGTAAGAAGAGGAGTAACAGAAGTTTAAAAAAAATTAAAAACCTTAAAGATTTGAGACTTAGGAGTTGAGAGAGTTGGGATGAGATTTAGAACTTGGGAGATAATAAGAGAAGACTTCAGGAGTTTTCCTCAACTCTAAAAGCCTTTAAGGTTATTTTGCATGTCCCACTCTCACCCCTCCTATTTTCATTTTCTAATTTTTTAAATAAATTTTAAAATATACTTTTAAATGGTATGATTTATTTTCCATCCCTCCCTCCCATCTTTTAAAACTTATAATTTAATCCCATCTTTTAAAATTTATAATTTAATTTTTAGTTTAGAATGTAAACTTTAATTTTTATTTAATTTAGTCATAATTTCAGTAATCTAATTTTCTGCAATTTAAATTTTATACTTTATTTTAATTATATTTAATTTAGTAATCTTATTTTATCACCGGATTTTTAAAGTCTTCTATTTGATTAAATTATATTATATATATATGTCATTTTTGCCTATAAAATATTCTAAAAATATTAAAAATGAATATTTATAATTATAATTATTATGTTTTAGGATAAGTTGTGCGAAATTTAAAAAAATTCATGACCGCTGCACCTGCAGTAACTGCGATGACATCCGTTATGCCCGCAACCGCGATAAACGCGTCACGACCGAAAACGCGACCGCGAACCCTATTTAAATCCTTGAATAGAGTATTAATTTAACTATGAATTTTAGATAAAATAATAATTTAATTCTTAAAATTTATATTAAATATCAATTTTGATACTTTAATCTAGTCAAAATTTATATCATCGACCTATGCTCGTCACGGAATCTATCACATTTGGTTTCTATCATCAGTCACCATCACCACTCATTGTGGTTGTCGAAGTTAATTGATATGAACTCGATTATGTGTTCCGAGTCATCATTAATTCTCACTCTCATCACTACATGTTCATCTTAGGACAATCCATAAAACAACTAGTAATAGCATGAAAGTCCGTCTAATCAATATGTGAACTCTTTCGTAGAATTATGCACACTTGTTAATTTTTTTTTCAGTTTGGTCATCAATTTGACTTAGTAGAGATCTTTAAGGAGTTACTAATTTAATTGTTCTTGATTGCATCAATAATGACACAATGAGTCAAACATTCTATAGGCTAATCGAATCAATACCGTGATACCCCAAACGACTTATTTATGTTTTCGTTGTCCATTTAATATAAAAACCTCATTCAGTATTCGATGGCGGCGGATGCCTATTTTAGGAGAAATTATTAGATTTTTCCGGCTCACCATTCATCCGGGGTCCCAATCAATAACATTTGTCCACGTCTTTTTTTTTTTCAACGTGAATCTTCACCTCTTTCCTATATGTAAATAAAAAGTTGGTGGTTATTTGGAAGTTATTTTAAAATTTGTGGCTATCATTCATTGGGATCATAGATGACGTGGTGAGCCAGGTCCATGAAATAATTTCTCCTATTTTAGGCAGCGATCGGGTTATTCAATGCGAGATTACTATAATTACACATAGGGGTATTTAATATAGGTCGTATGTAGACATACACAAAATTTCATGTTGGAGACGAATTTATAGAATTTTAAGTATAAGAGAATTTATAAAATTTTAAGGGACGAAAGCATATTTTTATTATTAATGAAAATGATGATGTCAACATAACATGGAGAAGGAGAAATTAACAACATGGGGACTTAAGGCCACGCTTAGCCACGAAATCAAGTCTTTTATTTGATTCACGAACCAAATGAATCAAACGACCTCGATGATAAATGAATTGTTATTATTCTTTGAGGTTCTGAGTTTGAGCACTAGGAATACTAGAGGTGTGAGCGTTCAATATCAAATGGTT